ATGCACTGGATCCACTGCAACTGTGACCTCTGCCACATTTTCATGCAGGTAGGCCATGTCAGGCTGTTCTGCTGATTCTCCGTCTTTGTCTGTCTCTGTCTCCTCGTCAGACTCGTCTCCCGCCTCGTCGTCTCTGCCCACTTCCGGCGCCCTGGATGCTGGCCCCAACAGACGTACCGGGGCTTTGTCCGCACCGTCCACTGGTTGCAGACAGGCTTGGATGTGGTCTGGCACGCCGTCCTCCGGCAGCCGTGTCGGGGCAACATCCTCCCGGACGGATACCTCGGAAAAGGTTGCGCACTGCTGCTTGCGCTCCCTCACGATCTGCATATACTCGCCGCGCTTGACTGTTGCCCAGTGCGCCCTGTGGAGTTTGTGCGCGGCGCCCGAGAAAACGATGTTCAGAGAGTCCACAAGCGCGCCCTGCTCCGGGGGCAGCTCCATGGTCGGGATTTGCGCCGTGGGCTGGGCGAAGAGGATAGTGTTGCCCGAGATGCCTTTCTGCTGGACATCCGGGGCGCCCTGGCCGAGGCGGACTTGCTTCCAACAGCATCGGCCAAGGGACGCCAGCATCTTAGTAGCTTTCGAAGCGTTGCGGACGAGCATGAGCTCCCGGCCGATCCAGTTGTCGTTGACCAGGGCGTTTAACGGCATCTTCGGTTTCTTGGCGCACAGGTCATTGAGGCAATCCCAACAAACCCACACCAACGCGTTGGCATCTCCCACCCCTGCGCACGGAGGCCTCTCGTCCGCAGGCTGAGAAGCTCCGCCGGACCTGTCGGCAGCAGGCTGAGAAGCACCGCAGGTTCCCGCCGTTGCTTCTGGTGGTGCAACCACAGGGACTCGGCGGGAGTGCAGCAGCCACCGCCACTCTGGGAGCTCCGGATGCTGAACGCTGGACGCGTGCAGCTGTTCACACGGGATCAGTGGCCACCGCTGCCTGTACCTGTCCACGTCCAGGAGCTTCTGCACGAGCTCCGGGGACTGCAAGTAGTACACCCCGCGGTGCTTCTCCAGAGCACGCTTGGGTGGAGCATCTGCCTCGCCATCGGATAGGTCATCACGATCGCTTGCTGAGTCGGCGCAGTGCTCAAAGACACGCTCCTCCGGCACTGCCCCAAACAGGCTCAGTTTGTGGCGGTGCTCCAGGTAGTCATTCTGCGCACAGACTACGCAGGCTGCCTCGCATCGGGGCACCGCCTCGCCGCCCGAGAAGCGGTTGCCCTTGCTGCCCGGGTGACAGAACTGCTGGAAGAGAGCAAAATTCTGCACCATGATCCTCTTCTCCTGGGCAGCTATCGGCCTGCAGCCGGCCTCTGCCATCAGGTACAGCACCCGTTTGCGGTATTCTGCCTCGCCGGCGTGGTTGCACTGCTTATGCCGCGCAAAGTCCTCTTCTATTAAGAAATCGCAGTCGCAGAGCTGGCAGACGAGCGGTCCCGTCATGACGGCACGGTTAGAGAAAACGCGCAACTGGTTCCCCTCTACTTCGCCGCCGGGGACGTAGCAGCTCTTCCCCGCGGGAGCAGCCAACGCTCTCCGCACTCGCTCCGCGTACCTCTGCGCAAATTCCCTGTGCTGCGCAGGCTGAGGAGCGCCGCGGCTGGACACAAGCTCTTTGTAGGTGGCCAGGCGCCGCAGGATTGCCTTGTTACGAATGCCACTCTCCAGCAGCAGCAGATCCTGGTCGATCCTGTTCCCCGCCTCCTCAGCGAACCCTTCCATGGGGTTTGGCCTTTCCTCCGCCTCCGCGATGCGAAGCATTGTTTTGCCATCGCTTTCCGCCAGCTGGAGTGCCTGGAGCTCGGCCTCCTGCTCGGGAGAGAACTGCTTGGCCTTCAATCCTTTCCGAACTAGCCAGCCTAGTTGCCGCTCTGCAACACTACGCCCGGCGGACTCTTTGGGAAAGCGGCCGAGTTCTCGCGCCTGCTGCATGACCTCCTCGATCTTCGTCTGCTGCATGAGCCCGTCGGACTTCGTATCCGCCTGCTGCAGAGTTTGAAGCTCGGCCTCCTGCTCCGGTGAGAAATGCTTGGCCTTCCGTGTTTTTCGGATGTGCCAAGCCAACTGCCGCTCTGCAAGCGGGCGTTGAGCGATCTCCTTCGGCCAGCTGCCGAATTCGCGCACCTGCTGCAGGATCTCATCGGTCTTCTGCTTCCGCTTGAACTCCTCGGTTGCAGCACGCTGAGCAGCAGCACCTGCAGCACGCTGAGCAGCAGCGCTGACGGCGCGTG